AGTGCCAGCTGTTTCCGGGAGCAACGCGGGGTCAGGGCAGGCAGGGAGCCTGCCTTAGTCCCACTGCGCCACGGTGCTAGCAATCCCACAGGCCGGATTGAAAGCCCTGACGGGCCGGATCCAGCCCACAGACCATAGTTTGCCCTCCCATGTCCTAGAGGGTGGGATCAAGCCCTTAGTCCTTGCATTAACTACCAGTGGTCAGTCTGTCTTACATAATTGTTCGTATTTTGGTGAATGCAGTTGCAGTCTTTCCTTAATAATGTGATTCTCTTATTAATTTGTAATATAGTCTATTATATATGGAGCTGACTAGCTTATGTTCAGACTGGTCATGTAAGAGGTAACTTTGGAAAGTCACTCTTTTAAATTGCAGGATTTTGAGGCTTTGTGGCTTATTCTTGATGACAACTGTAATGATAAAGTCGATTATGGGGAGTTCACTCGCGCCATTATTGGGGAAATGAATGAGTATCGAAAAGCATTTGTTAGAAAAGTAAGTTTGTTTTAATTATTCTAAATATGGAAGTAACAATATACATGAAAAAAATGTGAAATTGTTGAATGCCTGTTTTTGATCAATAATGTATTACAGTTTTGATTTTTTTGTTTTTGTTAAGTTGCGAATCTGAAATTTAGGCATCTAAGAATGTCATGCTGGTTTGTTAAACTAATCTAAATGTAGATTAAAAGGCTGCATCTGCTTTGCTTGTGTGGATTTACCCAGTTTTGATTTCTACAACTGGCATCAAAATTTTCCCATTATTTCATGAGTTATTAGCGTGCTTCCTATACTTACCCATTCTTACAGTGCAGTCTAGTGGATTGTTCACTGGACTGGGACTCAGAAGAGCTACCTTCCAGTCCCGGTTCTACCATAATCCTGTTGGTTGATTTTGGGCAAGTCATGTCAGCTGCGTGCCTCAATTTCCCCTTCTGTCAAATGGGGATAATGACACTGACCTCTTTTTATAACCATTTGAGATCTACAATTGAAAAGCACTGTGTGAGAGCAAGATATCATTGTTATTTATTTAAAGTACTATTTTGTAAGATGATGCATGTATGAAAACTGGATAGATGAAGGGATTGGTAATGTAATGTGGAGCCTTTCGTTTTCTAGGACCCTTGTTAGACTCCATCCCATATTGTAGTGACTGGAAGTTGTTAAATACTAAGAACAATGCCCTGCTTTTTGGTATCTTTATTCCTAGAGGACCTGTTTTTCCCAGTCTTAAATTGAGTCACACGCTCTGTGAGTAATGCCATTGAAATAAATATTGAATTACTACTGCTAGTAGTGTCCATGCAATACGATTACGGGAAATTTAACTGAGTTCTTTTTCTGCCCCATATAACTAGTTGTCAATTAAGAACTGATTACAGAATCTTTTACTGTTGTTGCAAAGACAGAGAGAACACAGCTTGATTTCAGATCCTAGGTTGAATTTGTAGTATTAGTGGGGGGAAAAAAGATGTTTACATTTTATATAGAAGTCATTGAGAAAAAGTAACTATGGAATCCCACGTTTTGAGTCAGTTTTCTGACTAAATTGCAGACTGAGATTGCTCATGTAAAATATGTAAGTATTTCAGTCTAAATGCAAATCTGTTATATTGGACATAAAAATATCTGATGTAATTAAATACATTCATGTCATAATTTCTGCTAACTTCTGTACCACATTTCCTTTTTATCTTTGCTTAGGCTTATATGAAACTTGATTTCAACAAAACTGGCAGTGTACCTATGGTAGATATCAGAAAATGTTATTGTGCCAAGAAACACTCTCAAGTGTTATCAGGTAATTCATGTAGAAAGAAATATTTTAATTAGCTAGTTGATCTTATTTGTTAGCAGATATACAGTACCTGTGAATTGTTGCTGTTATTATGAGCTGTGCTTCCTAGTGGCTTGGACTTGAGGTTGTTAATTAGAATTATTTTGTCCTCTGGTCAAAACACCTAGACGAACACCAGTTAGGAAAGGTCTAGTTACTACTTAGTCCTGAATAAATGCAGGGGAGTGGACTAGATAATCTATTGAGGTCCCTTCCAGTCCTGCACTTCTATGATCCTGTGGTCACCTGTAATTGGTCTGTCTTATTAGAACTGACCAGGGAATTCTAGACCATCAGACTAACTTCAATACCTGGATAGATACTGGACCAAATTGTTAAACAATCAGTGTACAAGCACCCTCAAGGTAATAGGGTTATAAGAAATAGCCAGCATGGATTTGTTAAACAAATCATGCCAAACCAACCTAATTTCCTTCTTTGACAGGGTTATTGGCACAGGAGATAAGGAGGAAGCAGTAGGCATGATGTATCTTGATTTTTAGTAATGCTTTTGATACAGTCCCACATGACATTCTCATAAGCAAACTAGGGAAATGTGGTCTATATGAAATTACTAAATGTAGGTGCACAACTGGTTGAAAGACCGTACTCAAAGAATAGTTATCAATGGTTTACTGTTGAACTGGGAAAGGTGTATCTAGTGGGATCCTGCAAGAGTCGGTCTTGGTTCTGATACTATTTGATATTTCCATTAATTACTTGGATAATGGAGTGGAGAGTATGCTTCTAAAGTTTGCGGGTGGCACCAAGCTGGGAGGTGTTGCAAGCACTTGGGAGAACAGAATTAGAATTCAAAATGACCTTGACAAATTGAAGAATTAGTCTGAAATCCGTAAGATGAAATTCAGTACATTTAAGAAGGGAAAAATCAAATGCACAACTACAAAATGGGGAATAACTGGGTAAGTGCGAGTAGTGCTGAAAATGATCTAATGGTTATAGTGGATCACAAATTAAATAAGTCAACAATGTGATGAACTTGTGAAAAAGGCTTATACTTTCTGGGGTGTATTAACAGGAGTGTCCTATTGAGTTATGGGAGGTAATTGTCCTACTCTGCTCGGTACTAGTGAGGCCTCAACGGGAGTACTGTGTCCAGTTCTGGGCGTCACACTTTAAGAAAGATGTGGACACATTAGAGAGAGTTTGAAGCCATGATAAAAAATGCACTATGGAAGCTTTAGTGCAAAGCAGCAGGTCCACAGGGGCACTTAGTGCATGACAGGCTTGTGAGCAGTAGATTTATACCCTGGCTTGCTGTGCACTGAATTGCCATAGACACAAGCTCTAAATGTATCCAGGATATAAGCTACCTTCTGAATAAACAATTAATATTTTTCTGGGGTATGGAGTTCGCTAATCCTTTACAATTTGAGGTATTTTTACAGTTTGTAGCCTATTTTCTTTTCAGGGCTATAAAACAGAACTTACAATGTTTAAATCTAATGTTGAAGGGAAAAGACTTTAAATCATAGAAGAAATCTAATTTCAAGAACACACTTCCATAGAACAAATTAATATTGGATTATTTTTATCAGTAATATTTCCTAGCACTTTGAAATATTTTGTGTAGTTTATAAGACTATCATAGTCCATCCATCTCTAGATTGTATCTAAAAACTCAGAATAAATTCCAGCCCTCGCAAAAATCAGTGGGTTTTCTATTTGTTTGTTTTTTGTAAATAACTGAGTTGTTTCCAAAATGCATAAAGCCTGGAGCATTCCCAAATATTAAAGTTATTCTGTTGCCCCCTGTCATGGCACTGTTGAGTAGAATCACTCAGTCCCCTTTATGAAAGAGACAGGAAATTTTCCAAGGGACTGCTTTAGGACTTAAGATTAATTGAATGAATTCAAGCTGCATGAAAAAAATATTTCAACATTTGAGGAACTTCAAGCCTGTTACTTCCAAAAGAAGTGTTCAAACAACTTTGTTCAAATTATTTCATAGTTCTAAAAAACTGGGTGTATTAAAAAGGGGACTATCTAATAGAAGCAGGGAAGTACACAGCATTGGTAAGAGGGCTGCTGGAAAACTGTCCAGTTCAGATGTCCACACTTCAAGAAAGATGTGAAGATTCTGGAGAGAGTTCAAAAGAGGGCCATACAAATGACCTAGGGACTGGAAAACATGCCTTACAATAGAAGCCTTAAGGAGCTCAACTTATTTATCTTATTGAGAAAATTGAGAGGTGACTCTATCACTGTGTATAAGAGAGACTATATGATAGTGGGGGCTTTTCAACCTTGCTGAAAAAGGCATAGCAAGATCCAGTGTTTGGAAGCTGAAGTTAAAAATTCAACCTTGAAATATGAGGCAGTTTACTAGCAGTGAGGGTATTTACACATTGGAAGAGCGTACTTGGGTGGGAGGGTGAGTGGTGGAATTCACCACTGCTTGGACTGTTTAAAACAAGTTTAGAGATCTTTCTAAAATTTATGCCTTAATCCAACTTTTGGGACAAATTCTGTGGCCTCTGTATGCACAGGTTGGATGGTCATGTGGTCCCTTCTTCCCTTGGAATCTGTGAATTTTCCTCTTTATCCCCTTCATGAGCTGTGGGGAGAACAAGATGGCCTGCATTGACCTCATCATGCTCATAACAGTGGCAGCTCTGCACTAAGATAATGACTAATCAAATCTTATGCTTCAGGGCTTCAGCTGGTTGGCTGCAGGGGTTAGGAAGCAATGCTTTTCCCTAAAGCACAATTGGCCAGATGTATTCTGGGTTTTTTTGTCACCTTCCTCTGAAGCAGTAGAGATTGGCCACAGCTGGAGATGGGACAGCTGATGGGGTGGAACAGTGTTCTGAGGTGATAGAGGGAATCCTCTTTCTGAAATGCTTGGCTGGTGTGCCCTGCTCACATGCTCAGGGTGAAACTCCTAACCAGCTTTGGGAATGGGAAGTAATTTTCCTCCAAGTCAGATTGGCAGCGACCTTGGATTTGTGTTTTGTTTTTTGCCTTCCTCTACAGCAAGAGATCTGAATTGCCTACTAGGGTCATCTACGCCTATCTACGCCTAAGCAGTTCCTTTCCATTACAGAAACCTTGGGTGGCTGCAGATTTGGGGATGGAAATAAGTTTTTTCTGCAGAAGCCCGTTGATGGCTCCCTATTGGGAGGTTGTCAGGAATGGATTCTGCAAGGGGCTCTCCTAAGTTAGAAAGTGGCCTGGGGGAAAGTGAAGCATACCAGAGTTTACAGTAATGGGGACAGATTCTGCACAATTTAGGGGTCCAGGAGCCTGAAGTAGAGGGAGGGCCTGAGCCTCTCTTATACATTCAGTTTGCCACCTACTGTGGCAGGTTGATAACCTAAAACTAAAAGGAAAAGAACCACTCTGAAACACCTGCCAGAAGATAAGGTGAGCCCTGCGCAAAGGCTTAAGGAATAGCTAGCCCAAGGAGGGAGGTGGCATCTTTGGAGAGAGGACTATTACTTAAGTATAATTCTTAGTTTTTGAGATACACTTGAGTGGACTACCACCCATTTGCTCTTCTACAGAGTAATTTCTACTATTCAACTTGCATATTGGAGTATTTTTCTATTTAACATTATTTATTGTTAGGTGGTTGGTTGGAGTATTTTTCCTTCTTGATCCTAAAAAGAACTAACCAAGGAAAGCTATGGGATAGTATTGGCATTGAATGGGTATCATGGTAGATGTCTTATAAGATTCTCTAACTGCTAAGAACTCTGTAATTAGGGGAATTACTGACTGGCCTCATATTTAGACCAGGGACTCTCAGGGTGAAATCCTGGCTCCTTTGAAATCAGTGGAGCCAGAATTTCACTTCGGGGGTGGTAATCCATTCAGATTGTATCTTCTCTCACTGGTGCCTGGGTAGCAGTTTGGGGGGAGGGGTAGCTCAGTGGTTTGAGCATTGGCCTGCTAAACCCAGGGTTGTGAGTTCAATCCTTGAGGGGGCCACTTGGGGATCTGGGGCAAAATCAGTACTTGGTCCTGCTAGTGAAGGCAGGGGGCTGGACTTGATGACCTTCAAGGTCCCTTCCAGTTCTAGGAGATGGGATATCTCCATTAATTTTTTTTTTCTTTTCTATGCAAAAAGTAATTTTGGATGTAATCTTGATCAAGAAGAAATTACTTCGTGTGTTGTAATCCCAAAACTGATTTAGAATGCAAACTTTATTTCCTAAGATGTTTCTAGAGCTCTGAATTTGTATTCCACTAAACCACATTCACTTAATCACAAAGATTAAACTTTCAGTAATTCAGAAGTGTGCTACATACTGCATCATTCTGTTTTGGAGTCCTTTGAAGAAGCCTCTGATCTCACTATCCATTTAAATCTGTTTTGGACTGATGTATTGAGGAGGTGGTGATAGTGCTGCTGCTGCTAAATGTGATGAGATGTCCTATGTTATGAAGATGAGACAGTTCTAGTAGCCTAAACCAAGTGAAAATAAATCGCCACTATTCAGATTGCATTACCCATGTATAGTAAACTAAATTCTGGTTAAAAGTAAAGACCGCAGTCATTTCTTTTGACAAATACATTTTAAAATCAAAATTTTGTAGTTTCCTAAAGGAAAAAATCTTCACAAACACAATTTAAAAAGTTTATTTTTCCCTAAATATATCAAATGCTATATATTGAGTGTTCCTGAGAATGTGTTTAATGGCAAATAATATTTTAACAGGTGTTGCCACAGAGGAAGAAATTAAATCTTCATTTCTAGAAACACTAGAGGATGCCTGCATCAATTCCAGTGAAGTGTCATATTGTGAGTTTGAAGATTACTATGAAGGATTAAGTATTGGAATCATGGATGATGAAGATTTTGTTAATATTTTAAGGAATGCTTGGGGAATTTAGAACTGAAGAATATATAGAATGTCATAAAAACCCCACTCCAAATGTGGTGTAAATTAAGTGAGGATTTATTCTTGATATGAGTTACTTTTCAAATTTGTTTTAATAGTCTGAAAATATTTGAGAGTAAATTTTCAGAATGGTATATAAGTTATACATAAAGCTCCCTTTTAACATTTCTTTCATGTAAATTTTGTTTTATTAAACTGTAAAATTTGTAATAGCTTTATGCACTTCCATCTGGCAGTAGGATCATTTGTCTCATTAAAATACTGTAGCTTGTTTTAAAAACAGGAATCTAGAATACAAACATAGGTGAAAGGATACATGCACGAGAAAACTTACTATGCATCATAAGTACCAGTTGTATGATGTATTGTTGAGAAGCTTTAGATTTGACTATATATATTATCTATGAATACAGTAGTTTTTTCTCTAAAATGTGTTGCTCATAAAAGAGGACATTTGCTTTATGAAATGCGTAGGGCCAGATACTGCTTGGCTCTTACGTTGATGAGAAGGATGCAAGTCATCCCTCTCATCTCCCCCGAGTTGGGGAGAGATCCACAATACTAAAAATGCATAGAAAATTAAGAACATTGCATACCTCCTTAATGTTCTAATTTTCAGAGCAAAATACAGCTTGTTCTGAATATATTTACTGATCTTCATCAGACACAGTAGATTGAACCGCAGGCTCTCCAAAGATTTTAATGAGATGCTTTCGACTGGCATTTGGATATACTGTGCATACTTGTCTTTAGTTCGTAGAAATGTGTTCCAGGGCCTGTAATGTACTTCAGGCTCTACAACCTTTTGCTGAATTGTTTTTTACAAACAAATAATAGATTTACTCTTTCTAGATGTGTGACTTGCATATGTTCTGCTGCTATGATTTATTTTTGGTGGAACCTTAACAGTAAACTCCTTAATCCAAACGGATAGGTTTTTCTTAACCTTTCTAAGAAAGCAGCAATCACAACTATACAAATTAAATTTCTAGTCTACAGCCCGCTCAAATTTTCCTTACTACTGTAAATATTTAATCAGTTGTGCCTTTTAATAAAGTATATTTTGTGAATCCTGAAAGATTCATTGTATTAAGAAATGGAAAATGCCTTATTGATTTTTTTTCTAATTATATTTCATAATAATCTTGGTGAAAGATACCTTTAACACTAGGGCCAATTTGGAATCAGACTATATATGCTCAGTCTTGTGCTGTTAAAATGTAATTTGCCTTGTACTTGTCTGATTGCATTTTGATTTATGATTTGTCTTGTGTTCTGTGGATAAACACAAGTTTCCTCTGTTAGACAAAACTCGTTGCTCACAGGAATTTGAGGACGACCTTGAGATTTGTTGGACTTTAGTAAATCTCTTTGTCAGGCTGGTTTATTCTATCTGTATTACCTTTTCCTTTACCTATTTTTTTTTAACTCATGCCTCCTTGCCTTCTGATTGTTAGTTTCTCGTTGCCGTTGCTCATTTTGAACCCTTGCTCATTTTTAACATCTCTTCCTGCTGTATTTACTATTTGTGTTTAACTTTCCGTTTTCATATTTTTAATGTTCTGTTTGTGATTTTTGTTTATTTTAACCATTTCCAATTTAACCATGTCTTACGTAGCTTATGTTTACCTCTTAACTCTTATGTAATTGTCCCTCGCTCCCCCCCCCAATAAAGATGTCCCTTTTCCTTTCATATTACCCATTGTCATTCTGCGATAATTTATCCAAGTGAGGGATTGTCTCTGTTGTTTTGGTCCACCATAAACCTGTATCCATGTCTGGTCTTAAAGAAAGAAAAGTTCCATGAATGCTTGCCCTGATATCAGAATTCTTCTGGGGGTTGATAAAAGGTATACTTCTCCATGCCTGCTGGAATCTACCCTCCCTGGAGAGATTTTGTGGACTACCTGGGATGAAATTGTTGGTGCTGGGGAGAAGAGATGGACCTGATGCCCCTGCTGGGTGTCGCATGTATCTGTCCTAGAGGTTTTACAAGGAAGCACTTGTTTATGTGCTAAAAAACACATACATCAAAATACCATTTTTGTTGATCTTTTAAAAAAATCATCTGTCCCATTAAACTCATTGACTTCATTGGAGTTAACAGTAGAAATGTGTTCAACCCACTGCTTGTGTATGTGTGTCAGTGATTTCGGAACTAAATACGGGTCTACAGCTTTAAGGTAGTAAGCCCAAAATGTTCTTCCTGGTAAACAGCGGAATGCTATGGAAATGAATATCAACTAGCTCAGGGGTCGGCAACATTCGGCATGCGGCTCGCCAGGGTAAGCACCCTGGCGGGCCGGGCCAGTTTATTTATCTGCTGACGCGGCAGGTTCGGCCAATCACGGCCCCCACTGGCCGCAGTTCGCTGTCCCGGGCTAATGGGGGCGGCGGGAAGTGGCGTGGGCTGAGGGATGTGCTGGCCGCAGCTTCCCGCTGCCCCCATTGGCCCGGGACGGCAAACCGCGGCCAGTGGGGGCCGCGATCGGCCAAACCTGCTGCGTCAGCAGGTAAATAAACTGGCCCGGCCCGCTAGGGTACTTACCCTGGCGAGCCGCATGCCGAACGTTGCCGACCCCTGAGCTAGCTCATAGAAGAAAGAAACTTTATTTCTCAGACAGTGATTCTCCTGTTTACCTAATTTCATGAAATTGCTAAAACATGTTGGGTCAGCCTTTGCATGTAGATTACAAAATATATTGGCAAAATTGTCTTCTCATGCTAAAAGCATGGGGGAATATTTTGCGAGGAAATCTCCATGATGATGGCGTCTTTCGTCATCCTGTGCCCGGATGGGAAGGATAGGAATTGCTCCCAGAAAGCTGCTCCCCTGCTTGGTGAATTCCTTGTATGACAACTATCTGTACAGAAGCCCTATGGCTCATGTCCCTTGCAATTTATGTCTTTGTCTTGCTGTTGTCAGTGTCTGTTCTTTGTCACATAAATCTGACACTTTAAAGATGAACATAAGTCCATAGTTATTTTGCGCACATCTTTTTCTTTAGATCCTGAAGGTACATTCTCCTCGACAGTCATCCACTATAAATACTGAGGGCTAGATTTTTAAAAGTATTTAGGCACCTAAAGTTTCCGATAGGCACCTAGTGTAAATTTCAAAAGTGCCAACGTGCTTGGGAGTTAGGTACTTTGGCACTTTTGAAAATCTCATTAGGTACCTATTTGAATTTTTAGACTCCTAAATACTTCTAAAATGTGGCCCCAAGACACTGGAGATTCGCATCTCTAATCAAATGATTATGTTCTGAGGCTAAAAGACTCAAGTGTCTAGTGTTTCATGCTAATGTTGTGTTTTCCAAAAGTTTATTTTTATACAACAAAGCTGGTAGTCTCTATCCTCCAATTAAATGAGAACTCCAACTTGTGAATCTTTTTGCCCTTTTGCTTTTTTTAGTCTCTTCTCAGATGTCCCAATGTTTTACTTGGGTGTATCCTGACTTCTTCCAATATTATTTACTTGAAAGGTAATGTGGTTAAACTGCATCTCTTGTTTCTACCAAAGTTTTGTACCATTAAAACTTCTTGGCACTATAGTTGTGAGAAATCTGGGATTCCTAACGTCTGCCTCAAAATACATTTCAAACATATCTAGTAGATGTGTGTTTGACATTCTTGGCATTGCCTAAATTTTCATAAATAGCCTGTGCCCTCACTACTAGTATTCTCATTCAGTAAAGCTATTTAGCTGTATCTGTAAGGCAAGTTCTTTGCTGCAACACAGAGCTCAACAAAACAAATCATCTTCAAGGCTGCTCTAGCTTATGCTGATTGCTAAAGGTCCTTAGAGCTGTTTATAGCTGAGGCTAACCAGAGTGCAGTATGCTATAGACATGCCCTGTCCCTCTCCTTTCATTCACCACCAAGAGGATGGTGTAGAGCAGGGATCGGCAACCTTTGGCATGTGGCCTGCCAGGGTAAGCACCCTGGGGGCTGGGCTGGTTTGTTTACCTGCTGTGTCTGCAGGTTCAGCCGATCGCGGCTCCCACTGGCCGCGGTTCGCTGTCCCAGGCCAATGGGGGCTGCGGGAAGCAATGTGGGCCGAGGGATATGCTGGCCGTGGCTTCTCGCAGTCCCCATTGGCCTGGAGCGGTGAACCACGGCCAGTGGGAGCCACGATAGGCCGAACCTGCGGACGCAGCAGGTGAGCAAACCGGCCCAGCCCCCTGGCGAACCAAGTGCCAAAGGTTGCCGATCTCTGGTGTAGAGATAAGTGAATGAATCTGTGTGACTCAAATGACTATTTCACTTGTGGTGAGACTGGCCACTTAATTGAATGAATGTGCATTGATGAGTATGTTTCCCTCCAGTGTAAGGGCTGCAGTGGTAACTTGAATCTTGTGTGGTATCT